GTGACTCGTTAAAAGGTTCCGGTACTGGGTAAAAAGTATCGGTCCGCTATTATTGGCACTCTACTCACGTCGTATACGAGTCTTATATGCATGACAAAACCAAACTACATAACACGCTACGCGCACGCATACTTCAATTACCACGTGCTTCTGTTTATACACTTGCAGTACAAACACTTCGAGTAACTGTACTTTATAAGGCAACTTAAAACTACAAGGCAGAATGTGAACCATCGTTCACAGAAGTATTTCCTACATTATTAGAAGTTCAGGAGAATGTTTTTATGTTGTTTTTAAATCAGTTGACTTTTCAACATGTTTCGTTTATGACCATGAACAAGTATTTACGCTTTGTTCAACCCGTAAGAGCTTGCATTATTTTTAAGATCCGGATTTGCCTCGAGCATTTAAATACACTCCGAATATTGTCTCTTTCAGGGTCCCATGTGCGATCTTCTGTGGTCCGATCCCGACGACCGCGCTGGTTGGGGGATTAGTCCACGTGGCGCAGGATACACTTTCGGAGAGGATATTTCCGAAAATTTCAATCACACTAACCACCTCCAATTGATTAGTCGTGCCCACCAACTTGTCATGGAGGGCTATAACTGGTCGCACAGTGAACATGTGGTTACGATTTTTAGCGCCCCCAACTACTGCTACCGGTGTGGCAACCAGGCCGCCATCATGGAAGTTGACGAAGGAATGCACAAGATTTTGTGAGTTCCCGTTTGATATACTAATTTTATTTTAAAAACAAGTGACATTAGGTCGAATACTTTGTACGTACACCAGGCTAACAGCTGTCACACGTCCCTGGTACCTTCAGTAAGGCCATTTGTGCATAAATTCATGCCCCTTAGGCCATGTTATATTGTATGTAAATTGTTTGATGGGCTTTCTCGGTTAAATTTTATCGTTAATGCGCAGAATTGATAACCAGCGGTTCCCTTTTCTGCGCTTCTGTGTCCATTTAACCGTTTGGTAGCTGACCCCATTTCCAGCCTTCCTGGCTGCGTTCACCAAGTAAAGCTCTGAGCCGTAGAAGTTCTCTTGGTGTTTGGATCATGCGGCCAGAGTTAACATTGACATTTGGCCACGTATAATGCTCTGTTAAATGCGTGATGACGAATTCCCATGATAAAATACGGTAAATTGTGAAAACTTTCCGCACAGTCAAATAGAGTTGTTTGGCGGTCTCACCACTAGCCAGACAAACCTGTCTGTCTACGGGTTATCGAGCGCGCTTGGAGGAAACCTATAATTCGTCATCACTCTCAGGTAGTTAGCAAACTACAAATATCCGGTCACATAATCGCTTTGCTGTTTCCTTAGGGCTACAAACTGGCTAAACCATTTATTCTTGTGCTGCCAGTGGGACGACGGCGAAGATGTTTTCGTCATTACAGAGTTTCACATAACATATGTCCCTTCTGGTCATGTTGAAATGTGCCCGTGTTAGACGGGACGACTAAAAACAGACCGTCTAACTCGAGGAAACAGGATATGTTCGAATTTCAGTGTAGTTTCGTGGTATGTCCCTTGAAATTACTTTGGAGTCCTTTAGAACGGACGCGTCGCAGTCAACGGACGGCTGAGATCTAACTTTTATGGATATAGGCTAGTACCAGTGTTTCCTGAGTGCCGACTGTCGTGCAGTCTTTCCTCTTATCTTCCAACGGGAGACGATCCACGCTTAAATCACAACAGATTTATTACATCTGAAAAGTAAGTTTTTCTCACTCTGGCTCCAGTCACACCAAAATTTAATAGGACTCATACCGTTTTGCATTGTTCATACCCACCTTATACTTTGTATAAGGACGGAGTCCTAAAACAAGTAAACAAAACTTAAAAAGTCCATTGTGCTCTGCCAAAACTATAATTTATGAACTATGAGACCGCTAGACTTCTGATGGTACTGTTCTGTTGACCGTCCATTTGCTCTCGGGTCTTCGAATCCATATAGATACTTACATCAACTTCTCCCATTAAATTGACTTATAGATACATTGATGGCTTAAACCATTTAGTTTGGATTCCCAAAACTGTATGACGAAGGCAAGGTGACTTTACATCACAACAGTTCCTAGATTTTGATGTGGACCTCGCCAGATACCATATAGAGCACTTTTATTCGAAGTAAACGTATCTTAAAATACGCTACTCTCGGGATTAGTACAACTCGACCGCTTTTTCCCAGTATTTTAAGGCACTTCTGCAGTCATTACACC